CCTGGTTTCTGTAGACAGGTGCAAGATCAGTTATAAGCATGAAGGATCTCACAAGCGGTGGTCAGCTGCTGCTGCAGCAGGGGGGCCGCCTCAGCCCGAATACCTGCTGTGCCGCCAGAAGTGCTGCTGCTGTGGTTTTCCCATCAGCTCCTCGCTATTACTATGGGTAACACTGGAGGCTTAGAATGAGTGCTGATAAATACATGGAGGGGTGTCTGGTCTTACGCCCTGTGTTGAGCCAGGATAGTAACGCTTCTCTGCATCCATTAATCTTAGAAGAGTAAGACGCAACGATGTTTTTCCTTTCTTCTGTGGAAGAAGAAAGGAAGTTGCTGTGGATGTCTGCCTGCCTTGTTCAGAGACAGGTTGTGCTGGTGGTGTACCCAGAACACAGGGAAGAAGTGTTTAGGAAAATTAAGCAATTGAGTGGCAGTAGAAAGTCCCTTAGGGCAAGGGCCTTGTTACAGTCTGGGTGTAACAGGCTCCATGCCACAGGAAAGCCACCACCAGGGGAAGTGGATAAAGGAATGGTCTTGGGCCAGTAGCAGGTATTGCTGTGTGTGCTGTTTCACACTGTCCATCAGAGTTGGTGGGAATAATGAGGGAAAGCTGTTGGAAACCAGCGCTGTCACTTGGAGCTGTTGAAAGCCATCAGGAGAATGCCAGCTGATCACACAATAGGCTCAGTCAGTGGTCTCTTGCCTTTCTCTACTAGCTCTTTGAACAGTATTTCCTGCTTATTCAGGGAGAGAAAATTGTGAGAGCATCGTGTTCTGGGTGGTGCATTGCCCATAGCACTCTGATCATCTCAAGCTTAGGATGCCTGCGGTGGCTGAGTTTGCAAATGAAGAGGTAATGCCATTCTTTATGTGGAGCACTGTCCTCCCACTGTGGGCATAGAGCTTGCAGCTTCACCACTCGAGCTGAGCATGCAGTGCCTGGCTTAATGCCACAGCAGTACTGAGGCCAGAACAGTGGTGAAAGCAAGAGGGTAAGTAAGTTTAAAAGAAACCCAGACATACTCAACTTGAAGCTTCTTCATGAAGTCTTCTGACTCCTGGAAAAGTTGATCATGTCTTTCCCTCTGCGTGTTGTGTTTTAGACACACACTCAGCCCCTGCTTGTGTGCTTCAACTTCACATAATGCATGGGAGATTCTCTGATAGGAACCAGACACAACAGTAAAACTCTCTTAAATGGGGAGGAGGGGAGGCAACTGCCTACTTGCTTACTGTCAAAGTAATGTGGAAGGAAACAGGTTCAAACAACAAGGCAAGAGGAGGTGGGTCTGCAGCAGCAGCACTCTGAAAGCTGGGATGGGCACTGGAGACCTAAGTGTTCTCAGGGGAAGTGTGTGATCCTAAGTTCAAGGAAGAGAAATACATTCCCATAACAGCACCAAGAAACTATGGCTTTAACTTTACTGAGCCACAAATGGTGCCCGACAGAGGGAGCACTTGAGGCAAATAGATACTATCCTGTTGCTACCAGTCACTCCCAGCATGAGGCACTGAGCTAGATGGACAGTGGGTCCGGCCTGAGGCAGCTTCTCCCACTGCTCTTGTGCAGAGGTGAAATACATGCGTGAGCTGCAACTGGCAGGCATGAAGGTAACGAACTAGTTACAAACCTCACTGGTGTGGGCAGCAGTTACATGGGAGCAGCTCTTCAGAGGGCTCTTCCATAGGGCTACATGAAGCTAGCGATCAAGGAAGGGCGAGGCAAGCAGTAAGGAAACATTAGGTGAAACTAAGTGTACTTTAGATAGGATTGAAGTCTCTGGCACCAATGCTGCTTTTGCAGTATTTGTGATGGAATGACCACATCATCCACAGGACTAATTTAGATTTTATTCTGGTATTTCTGAAATATAAAAAGTCAAAATTCTTACATCAATCTTTAAAGAAAATCCATGCAAGCAGGTCAAGATGTTTACAACTCAATTTGCCCCCCCTCCCTCTACCCCCCGCCCCCCTTCCCTTCTCACTTCACAAACCATGGTGGTAGGTAAAACAAGCGTTGTCCTCTCAGGGGTTTTTCACAGCACACTGTTAACAGAGCAATGCTAGGCTAAGTCAGGGGTGCAGTAAGCACCAAAATAAGAAAGTCAGGGGTGCAGTAAGCACCAAAATAAGATTTTGCACTTTACCAGCCTCTCTGCAATTCCTCAGCACCTCCCGCGGTGGTTAAAACCACCACACAATGTTAAATGTTAAGGCTCTTTCTGTTTGACACCACCATAACCAAACTCTTGATAATCTCGAAGCCTCGCAGCAGGAAAAGCAGCGGTACAGACCAGGCTTCTGGAGAACGGCAGCTGATGACCCGTCTCTTCCCTTTCTCTAGGGGAGAACCAAATCTGGACCCATTGTACATGATTCCTGGCATGAGAAAAATCCCAAATCTGCTCTGTATGAAACAGGTTTGGCCCAGCTGAAAAGAGATGCACGTAAAACCAGAATGTTGCTACATTTACAGTGGTAGGCAGTAGAAATAACTTTAGACTTCCTCTGCTGATTTTAACACAGACCCTTTTGGTTAAAGTTGATTAGGGCTGAAGCTGTACCGCTGCCTGTTTACTACAGTTGTTCCCTGTAGCATGACTGAAGTATTTTCGATTTACCTTTTCAATTCACAGAACGTTTCTCTTTGAAAGGGAGTAGAAGTCAAACTAAGCAATAGAGCTTCACTCTGAAGGTTGCATAGAGACTGAAGAGATTTATACAACAAATGCTGTTAAAAAAGAAAGATGTCTGGCACTATTGAACAGCTCAAATGTGTGTGACCAAAAAATAACCAAAATATTTATAGGCAATCAACTCTGAGTTTGTTAGCAACAGCAATACTGTACATTTTTACATTATTATCAAATACATAATTCAAGAGTTACAAAATAAGATCATGCATTACCACTAAATCTCATATAAGCTTGGACTGGTTTCATTCCAAGAATCTGAAATGGAGACAGAAGCATTTTTCTAAATAAGAACTCAAACTCTGGATTCTTGTTTTAGCTTTCACAGAGTCTGTATCATCTTGTTACAAGAAAGCCTGTACAAGTTTGCTCAATTTAAAGTGTTAAAATGACTACTGAACAAAAAAGTGAGCAAAGTGATCAAAAAGGGAGCTAAATGATTCACTCTTTCCAAGGCAGCTTCAGAGCCAGAGGTACCCTTACACACTGGGGGTATGATTTTAACAACAATTAGATGTTCTTCAATGTGCTCAACTCCACCTTCTGCTGTTTCACCTGGCAAAACACTGCTTTGATCAACCAATTCATTTAAAAGAAGTGAGCTGAGCACATGGTGCCCCAGTCTGGACGAGGTTCAGTGTAAGGTACACATGTGCTTGTGTGCACTACTGAAACGTCAGCGCTCCTTCCCCACCTCACCCCTGAGAGGATGGATAAGGTGTTGGCAATACTTCCACCCTTAGGTGCACTTGAACAGAGCTATGTGTTCTCTCCAGTCCTGGAAGTGACCTGGAATAGGAGCTACGGGGATGGAAAGCAGCACCCTATGTGACATTTCAGAGAGCTTCAGCTTTGTGGCTCATGCCTCTTGTCAGTAGTATTTATGCCTCTTCAAAGAGAGCAGCATCAAGAGATCAGATCATCTGTCTCCCTGGTTTCACTGCATTTACATATGGCACAAGATCGGTTTTCTAAGGAGTAACGTGTGGCAACAACATTTTCTTTTCCTAAAAAAGTGTAACAGCACAAAAAAAATTCATAGCAGCATTTTACACAATTTGTGTTAAAAAAGTAGAAGTTAACCATTTGTGTATTGAGTAACAAAAGGTTTAAATTACATTTATTTTCCATTTTACACTCACTATTTACTAGTTGGACTATTTACAAAGGTTCAAATGTTGTGTAAGAGCATGAGCTTTACCCAGAATAAACTTCACACGTGAGGTAATGGTCTACCTCAACCTCTGTTTTGGCTGCCTATAGAGGAGGTACAGTCAGGTTTAGATCCTAGAAAAATTCAGAATTAGGATGTTCATATGAATTAGATTGTGTTCTTATAGAAGAAACCACACACACACACACATACACAGAGAGAGTAATCCTATGGTAAAAACATTAAGACCAACAGTGGATTTACTTTTCATCTTTTTGGCTAAAGAAGAGGGGGAAAAATAAGTTATCAGCTGTACCTCATTTATTCCAACTGACTTTTCTATCAAGAGGCCAGCTTTTAATTCAAGAAGCTAAAGCAAGTGATGTTAAACCAGCAAAACTTTTAAGTATTTAAGAATTGACTCAAAATTGGGGTTTTCAGCACGTTTTCCAATTAAGACAAAGGAATATTATTTCTGCACTAGTGTATCAACCCACCTGCCTCCAAGCCCAGGAGGTACCACTGCTAGCTTGGGCAAGACACCTCCACACATGCTTGCTAACAGACCTTAACGTTACCTCTGTAACATAAAAGGGTGTCCCTTGGGCAAGTCTTTAAGTGGCAACTGACTGCAGGAACACCATGTAAGATCCTTCTCATTGAAGATTAGGAGTTTTTGGAACCTGCAGTGTAATTATACCATGAACAAAATATGTATCAAAATGCTAAAAGGAAAAAAGGAGGAAGAGGGATCTACAATGCTTCTCATTTAAGTCTTCTGACAGTTCATCAGCTGACCAAGTGATGAAACAGAAGCGCACTGGATCGTTTTGGTAGTTGCAAGACAAAGTTACTGTTCTTGCTCTAGTTATAAATTAGATGAAGATTGCACAGGACAAGGCAACCTTTTGGATAACTGAGGCAAGCAGTGCTTAGTGTTGGTATCCTTTGCTCTCAGAAGGCTCAACGTGATTTAGTGCTTTATTGTCTCGCTTACGCATCTCTGCCTCCAACAAAGCCATTTCCACAACTACTGCCACCTTAAGATATTAACTCTTCATCCATGGACACCAAATAGAGCTTTGCTCAAGCTTTTTTGAGCAAGTACTCTTGCTTAGAACTACTGACTAAAACTGACAGGTCTCAAATAAGCTGAACACCACTGAGATGCACATTTTATTTTAGCAGATACGGAAATTCCTATACTCAAGTTTCTTAAAAAAAATAAAAATAAAAGAAATGCCTATTAAGGCATCTTAAAAAGAAAATCCTTGTATGGCTTTGGTTTGCTGAGATACTATTTTACATTGTTAGAAAGGAAAACAATGTTCAAATAAAGTTGACATTATGACACATTCACATATTTCACTTAAAATTGACAGTTATACAGATGCCTACATGTGATCACAGATGTCTCCCCTTGTGATGACATGAATGAAAAGGTAATCCAAATGCTTATCTCACAGTAGAGGGCAACCCAGAAGTCTGTGCAGAAGTGACATATAAGGAGTTATTATCTGGAAGAGGGGGAACCACAGAGTTTCCATTAGTGGGTGAGCAGCTCAGTTTCAGTTTTTCCAAGTATTCTGCATGAACAGGCTTGTGACACTGAAGGACCTTGATGGCATCTTCTACTTTAAACCATTCTCTTTTCCTTCCTGAATGAGTATAACCCACAAGGAAAAACAGAGTTACAAATCTAACAGCACCATTTGTTGCTATCTGATTATTCACTTTCTCTCATTTCTCCTACTTCAGAAGTTGTCAGGCAAAAGGTAAGAGTGAAAAGACCCTGAAGGAACACAAGCGATTCACTCAAGCTTACTGAAATGAGGTTAATAATAAAGCCTCTCAGATAACTCTTTTGAAGCAGATACTGGGCAGAAGCTCATATGACTGTTCATATGCTCCAAAAGCCACATCCAAGTCCCTACAGAAAATGATATTATTTACATGACTTATTACTGCCCTGCCACATTGCCATGCCTAGCAGAAAACCAATCGGAAGAATGAACATGGATACATGAAGTTACAGAAGAATTGCTTGGTCTGACATAGAAAGCAGAGTTCTAGAATCAAAACATATCCATGTGTGGAGCTACTCAGGTTAGCCATACGTTTTAAAAGTAACAAACCTTATGCCATAGATATTTAGGTAAGTTGTAGGACTATCTTACTATGATAAGACTTAAGACCGTCTTTCTTATACAAGTCATTCCCCTAAAATTAGAGGTCTCTGAAAACTCTTACAAACAAGGCAAAGGATAGTATTGTTGAAAGTGGGATTAACTATTTTTCATTTGATTTTACAATGTTATGGGTACTGTGCTTGATATTAACACACCTATAACCCGCTTGTTTAAGACCAAGGTATGTGGCCCCACCAGGGCCATTCACATCCACTGCCAGCAGTGCTCCCCAGAAGGAAGCCAGCAGTAGCTCCAGTGCTGGATGCTCCCCTCTACCCTACAGCTTAGCACTAAGCAGGAACAGACCAGAACTCACAGGCCCAGCACAGTTCCAGGTACAAAACCCCCTCAAAACAAATTTAACTCCTACCAATATCGATCCTTTTCAATACTGGACCACCCATCAGTGTTTCTGTACAGGGAACCCGACATGCAACTAAAAGGGTGCATTCCCCACAACTTGATAGTATCGTAACCAAACCATTCTCTCTCCACCTGAAAAACCAAGCAGTTTTGAAGCTACCCTTACAGTTAGATGCCAGTCACTGACAGATCAATGGTGCTAGGTTTATGAAGGTAAATACTCCAGAAGCACCACCAAAACTTTCCAAAGATTTGTCTTTCACTTTTTCAAAGACATTTTCAAAACCACCCTGGAGTATCAGGCAGCAAAATATTTTACTTTGTACGGAAAAAATAATTACTCAGTATAATATTGGGCCTTTAAAAAAATAATTAAGAGCTGTATCAGCAACTAATAATGAATTTTATTCCATCATAATACCTAGAATACCCTAATTAATACAAGAGTAAGACTATGTTGGAAGCAATCCTAGCTATGGAAGAACAGCATCACGATTTGCAGCAATTTCAGTTTATAGAACAGAATTAGTATTCCCCCAGAATGATAGGTATTACTTCAGAAAATCAAAAATGAAGTCTGCTTAATACATTTGAAGCATATCGTATGAGGACAGAGAATGGGTTTACCTATATTAACTGAATCCTCCCAGTCTTCCAGTATTTCCGTCACAGTAAGAACATAAACGTACGTCCTATGCTTCCGATCCTGGTTCTGCTTGAATGTTAGAAGTAGATGTTTTAAATCTCAGCAAAAAAAGTAACTTTCAGAATTACCACAACTGTAAGATCAGCAGTTACTCACCTCTGAAGGATACTTGCCAGCAAAACCTGAGTTTTATTTTCACTAGGTAAACATCTGTACTGAGTAGGCCCAAAAGGAAGGGAAACTAGAAGTTTTATGTGAAACAGCTATTTTGTTTTACTAGTCTAACCACCACCCAAAAAACAACAAACCTAAAGCAGCCCAAGCAAATTTGAAGATCGTGAAGTTGGGACCAAACTATGTTCTTGTTCATCGAGTTTAATATTAGCATTGTCCAATAGTACTGCCCATTACTTATCTTTTACGTATGTTGTATGTTACCACAGTAGAGTGCATTTGCTAAAACAGTTTCCACAACTCATGTTCCTAGATGAAAGGTTATGAAAAAACCTTTGCAGGACGGAACTGCTGCATCATGTGGCTATAAGGTTTCACTCAGCAAGCGAGGCAAATTGAATAGCCTATGTTTGCAGTCATGACAAATGCCCAAATCATTACCATCTGTTCGCTCGTCAGGTTTGCCACGCTCTCAGCACTAACCAACTATTTAGAAAGCACACTGTTTTGAGCAAGGCAAGTCAAATAGAGAGCCTGACAGAGGCAGCCTGCTCAGGGCAGGGTCACTGTGCCCCAGCCAGCCCACCCAAGGGCTGCATAGACATTACTCCCTGCTCCAAAGGAGGCTAGCGGTACACTGTGAAAGGTGCAACCCGACTAACCAAACCACGCTGCCCCTTGGAAAAGGGCTGAGCTCCTAGAAAACTCAGGATCATCTATGATTACAACTATATTAAGAACCAAGAGATGTTATGTGCTAGCTCCCCTTACAAATTGTTTTATCCTTGTGCCAATAACCATTCCTACTTAACTCTGTTTCACTACACTTAATATAGTTTTAAACTGTTGCTCTTTACTAGGAAATAAAGAAATACTCCAGGACAGTTCTTTGTCTGTGTCACTATTAAATGGAATAAATACATCTATACCATGTATCCTTTCTGGTTGTAGTTCTAGAATATGAGGACTCAGCAGCAATATAATTTCCATCTTTCTCTTAGTTCCATCCCTAGGTCACAACATGTGGCCCCTTCAATGGTACTAACAACTGTTTGTGGGGCAATGTTGTGAAACTGAAGTAGGGTCTTGATTTAAGTAAGAAGTAACCTAGAAAAATGCCACTCAGATTTTTCTCTCCTCTGGTCTAGACAGTGGCAGATGGCTTCAGAAGAACAAACAGCTGAAGTACCAAAGAATCATCACTCCTTGCAGCCTGCTTTAAGGCTGCAAGATGATAGGTATCCTGTCTTATTTTGGTCTGAGCTGGGAAATACAGAATACTTCTGCAGACTAACCAGCAGAGTTAGACAGATTTCTAGTGTGCAGGACCTTCGAGGTGAACTCATAAACCTAAAACAAATAGGAAAAAAGGCAAGTGCTACTAACTACAAACAGCAACTGCTCTACCTTTGTCATGGTCTGCATACTTCACAATGGGAACACCTTTAGCACTGTACTAACACAACTTAAGTCAATTTTCACATAGGAAATCCCTCTTGGAAATAAACTGCCCCTGAAAGTTGGTTTTATAATTTAACTGTCAAAACTCATATCTAACTATTGGACTAACTAAGGGACTTTTGCCCATCACACAGTATAACATGATTGATCTTAAGACTCACCTACATTTCTACCATCTGCTCCTGACTAGAACCTGAACAGAAGGTGGCAACGCCAACACTGAAGAATTATATCTAACACACATCCTCATGCTGTCAGTAGTTCAGCACCTGATGGTTACACTACAGAATACAAGTTTTGAAGTATATAGTATTGCTAAAAGTTAGATTTATCTATTACCAAAGCCTTAGCTTTTTTAGTGAATCAAAGCCATAATGACATACTTCATATACAGACCCATCAATTTAGGTGTGTGAAAGTTGATAAGTTACTTCAGCAAAATGTAATCAGAGAGGAAAAGTCAAAATAGCACACATATCCCCAAAAGGAACGTATGCTATTTCAGACATCCTACATCTATCAATATTGGTTTCATTTTTTGTAAGCTTCTAGAAGTTGTATCAGTACTAATTAAATCTTTCCAGGAAAGTTCAAAGTACTTTGAAATCTTCCTATTCAAATCTTCACACATCACATTAACAGCTACAGGAAATCACCTGTCTAATGTAGTGTTTCCAGCAGCATGGCAAAATTATAAGCAGATAATACTTAAGAACATGTCTGATGTTGTAGTTTATCAATGCTCACACCCCCCCCCCCCAAAAAAAAAAAAAAAACATGTTTTTTATAAGTAAAAGTTTATCAATGCTCCCCCCCCCCCCCCAAACAAACAATAAAAGCATTGTTTTTAATAGGTAAAAGAAATAGCTCACCTCAAATATCCCAAGCAGTCTGCCTAGCTTTCCCTTCACTCCAGCCTACAAAGCAAAGAGGAAAAAGCGTTAACATGTGCTTTTTCATTTCAAAACTTAAAATATCAGTTCCAACCTCCTACATCAGCATACTCCTCCTTGTCAGGGTTATTTAACCCAAGTTTTAATTAGACAGTGTGCACTGCTTCTGGAGTTTCATGTTTTAGAGTACTTAAAAGAGTATTATAGCACAAAAGCTTGTCCTAATGAGTGGATCCTAGGATGCAAAAAATCTTTAAAGTTTTCCATCCAGACCAAAATACAGTTTTACTTACCATGTTCTTTGTGTACTGTATTTTATTGAAGAGATAAATGACACACAATACTGAAATAATCCAGGGAAATAGATATGATGAGAATTTAAAGTAGCATAATAACAAATCTAGAGAAGGAATCATTAAAACCCCATTGCTACTTTACACAGAAACTTATGTCCAGGTCTTCAAAATGCAGTATCAAATTAAACTGTAGGTACTTGGTGGATCTTGCAGCATAATGACTTTATCTACCCTAGTTTTCATACAAAAGTGTATGCTTTTGGCATGTAAGCTTAAACCCACATTTTCATCCCCAATTCTCTACCAGCAGTTTGAATTATTTTTCTAGTTAGTAACATTACAAAAGGCTTTAAATTCAGTGTTTTACATCAACTTTTTAAAACAACCCCTATGTGTATCAGCCTGTGCTTAGTGATTTTTATCAGCACAGTAAAGGTGGTTGTTATAGCTTACTAAGACTCCAGGGGTTCCTCCCTCCCCCTCCCCAAGTAGTATATAATGCCTGTTGCAACAGAAATAGTTTTGGTTTATCCATTTGTTCTAAACAAAGCTCAGTCCATATGCCTGAGACATAAAAGCATACGTAGCCTACTGGTAGACAAAGCCATATTTAGATTTTATTTGCCCTGTTGTATAACCGATATTTTAAATAGGGCTTAGCACTAAGATGACATTTTCTCCTCTTCAGTCTTTGTTTCCAGCATTAACCAAAGAAAAAGTTACTGATGTCTTTATATGAAGGACCATATGGACCAATTACATTTTAATGAATAATTCTGACAGACAACTGGGCAGGCTTTAGCAATAACTCTCATCAAGATCTTACAAGTGAATTCTTTTTGTGTCTTTTTAAAGAAAGCAGACGGCTGGTGTTATTTATTAAGCAGTTTTGATGAAGGAAGTCTGATCACAGCCTGTGCAACTCAATAAGCATTTTGCTTACCCAGAACAAGAGCTAGACCTAAAGTTACTGCAAAACTACACAAAACATTCTCCTGGATGTTTGCTGTGATGACAGAGATACCTGTCAGAGCTCATGAAGCTGAAACACGTAACTGGACCTGCTGGATAAGTGATTTGGCAGTGCATTAATTATGAAAGTGGCAGATCTTTATTTTGGTCTGAAAAGGTCAGCTATGCCACAACAGGCACTCAATAAAGATATGGCTTAACAGCATGACAGAGCTCAATAGAGGCTCTGCAGGTTTCTCAAACCTTAAGATAAGCTTCTCCAAGTACCAAGGAATTGCTCTAAAGGGGACAGTGCTACACCAGAGGAAGGGAAAAAGATATTACTTCCCCCCCAGCTCAAAAAGCTTTCAAGATTTTGTAACTTTAAGCAGTCCTAGACAATGCCTTACTTACACTACAAAGGTATCTTAAAGGCAGGTCTATGGGCAACAGGACAGTTGAAGGACAAAATCTCACCATCAGTAGATGTAGGAGGGCTTCTCTAAACTGCTAAGTGGGAGTCTGGCATTTAACTGATATCCAGCACAATGCCACAAACACCACAACCAGTTATGTTTACCAATACTGAATAGCTTTCATAGGGAAGTTTTTTTAACTCATTGGTACTCCACAGTCACAATGTGACTTTATCATCAATGTTGCACTAAGTGGAATTTACTTAAAAGCATATCTATTTTCTCTTCAAGCAAATCAGTCATTCAAACAAATACTCTTAGCTGAGCAATTCTGAATGAAACAATCTGAAGCACTCCCTTCATTACATTAAGTGTAAAAATTCTTCCATGCTTATAATGAAGCTTTTGTGCACCAGATGTTGCTATGTACATGTGATTACTGTCTTTGACAACTTCTTACTCTCTAGGCAAAGATATGTACTTCCAAAACGTAGCATCATTTCTGCAGAGTAGCATCTTTTGGAAACTACTATACCCCAAAAGCATAAACCTGTGGTAATTAGTCTCATGATTTTTCTCTGAAAATAATATATTCAACTGAACCATCTTCACATTTTAAAAAGTATCATCAACTTGAAAGTGCTTTGCTAACAAAAATATTTCCTCCAAGTTCCTATATTAATCTTCCTTCAGAATGTGTCAAAATTAAGTGCTAGAGGACCAAGAAATGCTTTGGCTTTTTCCCTAGAAAGTCGAGTAAAGTTCCCACTTTCCCATTTGTAAGCTCCTATATACATTCAGCACACTGATTACGTTCTGGACTTAGAACCATTTTGTCTTTAATAGCTTTCTTCCTTTGGCCTTTACGTACCCATGGCTGCTAAAATACGGTTCTTTAAACAGAATCCTATAGGCTACCACAAGTGTGTAAGTCTAAACTGTGGAGAAAAGCCTGAAAACTCCCAGCATTTCTTTTGACATACAAGCTGATGACTTAAGAGCTACACCTCCCAGAATTATTCCCCAAGGAAATCTGTGAGTACTACGTAAATAAGATCTCAAATCTGAATTTATGCATATATTTTAGTACTAGTCTAAACCCAACCAAAAGATGGAAAATCATCCACTTCATCCCATTCTGACCCGGAGGTCATTCACTGTTGGCAGCTCCAGGCATACTGCAGTCTCAGACGTGCAGTCACACTTGCCTTTTACTTCCTGTAGATGGAGCAAGAGTCATGCTGCAGTTTAATTCTTAGGCTAACAGTCAACCAGGGCAGAAAGTTGCTTAAAGTCTGAAAGACTTGTGTTTATTTTTAACTGTGGAATCTGTCGGATAGTACTCTAATGGCTATGCTCCTGAAGGCACACTGCAAGACTATTCCTGCCCTTGCTTGCAAGCTCTTCTAAACCCCAAAGGGTTTCGCTATACCTGCTGCAATCTTTCAGCTGAAATGGTGTTTCCTTTACTTTTTGAAGTATCTACCTAGTCCCAGCCTGTGACACCCCTATCGTTTTTCAGATAGTAGGTGCTTACTGGAGCAGATTCCTCTGTTTCCTGCGAGAGGTCTTAGATAATATTACTGCCATTTTCACTGGTGCAGTGGAATAACCTTCAGGATCAGCCTCTTCTCAGAGGCTGTATTTATGCAGGCCTGGGAGGAATTGCATTATTTTCTGGTAGCATTTCAGAACTAACAAGTTCAAAGCAAGAGTCTCGGGTTTTTCGTGAGATGGAGGAAGAAAAGGGAGTGGGAGGGCGCTCCTTCCATTTAAGAGGCTGGACATCATCAGCTTGCCACCCTTATTATTTGTATCGTATTTCTCTTTGACCACCACATGTACAAACAACTCTTATTTCCATCTTTTGCACTATGCAATTAAAGACTAAGCTCCAAATTCATTAACAGAGCAGCTCCTCATTTAGATGAGGTTTAATACTTTTCTGGGACCGCTTTATACTGTAACTTCATTTTGGGATTCTACTTTCAGGTTTGTAAAAAACTTGTACCTAAAGGAGCTTGACAGGTTATCTGAATTGCTGTAACCTGTGAAATGGCAGACAAATTCACATGAAACATACTAAACATTTAGTAGAGCCTAAAACCTGAATCATTAGCTAAAAGTTAGATTGTGGAGTCACACACAGGCAACTATAGAGCAATTGCAGTGCATATAGATCTGCCTACAAAGATCTTTGCTTGGGTTTTAAAACAAAGACTTTAAATACACTACTGCTGGTGGGAAAGTGAGGGATATTTAGAGCCAGAGGACTATATATTGTGAGCTATTAGCACTCCTACCATTAAGAACTGCCATTGTAACTCCCACTATCAAATCTTCCATTTTAATAGACTAATATAAACCAATGCTTAGTTTGTGCATGACCCAATACTGAGGAAACAGTGTTCAAACCAGTGCCACCATGTGCTTCCTTTGAAGTTTATTCATTCACAAAACCCTTAACAGTTCACTGTACTGTAACCAGCTTGCCAGGTGACATTGACCTTAGTTTAAAAATAGAAAGGACATCCATCTCTAGAAAGGTTAGTATGAACTTCCATGACTCAGGTCAAAACCCTGAATACCATTCTGGCTTTTCTTTAAAAGTGGTGCTTTGCAATCTTGTGGCAGTGCACAAGATTCAGCCTGTAGCTTAAGAATATTTTACTTTAAGGCATAAGCTTTTAATGCTCATCAGCCACTCAAGCTATCAAACCCCAGAAACTCTGCAGCTGCACAAGTGCCACCAAATGACTTTTCCTTATCAAAGCCCCTAGCCTTTGACAACTCTATGCATTTGCAAGCACAACTCAGAAGTGAACACGGCTGGCAGTTTGTGTCTTACGCCAGATCATCATTTAAAAAATACCCCAGAAGCACAGCCATTGTAGTATAAGTGAATAAAAATTGGTTTAACTTCTGAGCAAAATGCTCCTGTGCTAGCACCACTCAAGAGCTCTGTCTTCAGGATTCAGAACAACCTAGGGTGGCTGCATAATACAGTTTTTGACCAGGACCACCATGATGTGTGAGGCAGTCTTCTTTGCCCTGAGAAAAAAAGATGAGGTCAAGAACAAAACTGAGCCATGGAAGAACTGCTTCACATCGTAACAGCAGGTACTCACTCCTATTTTGCTTTCCTGCTTTGCTTTTTTTTTTTTGCCTGCTGATGTGAAAGCATACCCAAAAGGAAAAATATCTTTCAGAAGTAACTAACATTTTGGTGTCTGTATGAGCTAGAGGAGTTCACAGTGTCTGGGCAGCATGTGAACTCCGATTGGGCTTTTACATTAACAGAGAAATTTGGACTAAATTTATACTACGTGATGCATGATCCTGTAATATTTTGTCCCAATTCCTTAGCTTAACCTTCTCCAACACTCATGGCCCATGCACTGCACCACTGCAGGTATCTGCAGGCAGAGCTCCAGCAAAGCCAGGACTTGGTAGTGTTCCTCAGGATATTCTCAGGGAAGAACCATGTGTAGTAGAAAACTAGTTATCAGCCCCCAGGTCACAACTCTCATTGGTATACTGCTTTGCCATGAAGTCGGCCAGAGCTTTGAGTGTCGCACTGCATTCCCTGGAAGCCGAGAAGCTAGACCACTCAGGCAACTTCCAATAGTCAAACACCCACAGCAGCTTTCGTGACATATTAACTGCAGATAGCTCCCTTCAAGATCATCCATTTTTAAGGGAAAAAAAAAAAACCAAACAGCCAAACATATGACTACAGTTCAGTCAGCTTTGGTTTGACACTGAGATGAGATTTTTTACAATCCCTCATCTTGGGCTGTGCCTTAGGTCACATCAACAATTAAAACTACCAGTGTTCACAAGAACACCAAGCCAAAGATTCTGTGGGTTTTAAGCCCACCCATCAACAAGTGACAATGGGAAATCGCAGGACTTCCCCCAGAGGTGCTACTATCACCTAGAAGCCTGAATCTTTGCTGACTCATTCCTAAAACCCCGTATCTTTGCTCCTTAGACTGCCTTGTGGCTGCCTCCTTTACTTTTACAAATACACAAGCACTTATTTGAGTATGTCTTGCGCAGCTTGAAATTGGCTCCTCCAGCAAAACCGGATAGTCAGAAAGTCTGGAATAACTTTGTATCAGTGAGGCTTATTTATACTTAAACCTTGCTGCATGAAGGCTGCCAAGAGCACTGAATAGTGAACTAATCCCTTCCCCATGTAAGAGGGGAGGAGGGTTACAAACGCAATTCACAGAAGATCTCATTTTGACACCAAATAGCAGGCAGCATTTAGTACAAGTTGATCTATATCAAGTTCTGAGCCTCTACAACCCAGCAGAACTAGTCTTATGGTTAAGCAAGCTAAACTACCTGATAGCACAGCTAATAAAAAAAATTATACATCCTAATTAGCAACAATATTCATGTGTTTTGTGAACAGTAGTGGTCAAACTGGGACAAGAAAACCATTTAAGAGTAGCAGAAATCCTGCAGTTCACACACTTGCCAGGATGTATTCACTCTCTTCAAAACCTTATACTTTCCGTTTAAAAAGTATGATACACCGCATTAAGAGTTAACAGGTGGTTACTTATGCATTGCACAATTTCTAGCTAAATCTCAAAGTTTTGTTAGGCTTACAGTCCTGGCTGTTAGATATTGAAGTAACATTTAACAGTTTGCCTAGGACAAATAAATATCAAGTTAAACCCCAAAATTCTGAATTTGAGATTTAACTGCTATATTAGAGTGGGAAACTGCATTAATTCATCAAGACTTAAAGCTTTGTTTTGCCTAGGGGTAGGGGCAGAGACAGAAAGGCAGACTATACCTATAGTGCTCTTTTGATAGGTAAACAGTCTTAAGTATACTTAACAAGGCCTTTTTATTGTTGAATTTCCAACTGCTCAGATAGATCAGTTTCAAATCCATTTAGTTTGGAATCTTCTCAAAGGTCTGTTTATTTCTCTTTCTTATGTAGCTACACATTAATGGTTAGTTCACCTTCAGCCTGTTCCAGAAGAGCTGTGAGTCAAACGTTTTCTGCACAAACACAGAAACATTACACTACTATAATATGTCATTTGGCATGAAGTCACAGTTCCACTTCCAGTAAGTGTTTATAAAGGCAGACAGAAATTTAGCTATGAAATGAAAGCGTGCTGGGAAGCAAGCTAATTAGTGCACACTCACAACATTATACCCCAATTCTAACACACAACTGCAGCTCTTTGAATTTCAAAGCCATGGAAGTCTCAGTCAAACCCTGGAAAAAGGAGGTAGAATTCCCTCTTTCATGTTGGTTCCCATATGAAGCAGCAATAAGCTGGATTTTGCTTTGTTACCTCTTCATACACCTCTCTGACAGCTGCTCCTCCCGGTTCTTCTTCTGGTTCCATTCCTCCACCTGGTACAATCCACTGATCTGGGTATCGGCTACTGCTTACCAACAGCACCTATAAATAATTGCAAAGGACTGTTAAATATAGCTCACAAGTCAGGAATATTGGTACTATGTATTTTTTCAGCAATGCACTTATTCACCTAGCTAGATGGATTATAGACTTTGGAAATTAAACCAAATAGGCAATCAGGAATTGCAAGAACTGGAAAAGAAGTTAAATTATTAAACTCCAGTCTTTTTAATACAGTTAAGTCAAGACAATGTCATTGTACTCTCCTTACACAAACACTTTCATCAGATGCTTACACACTGTGAAAAACACACAATACAATATGCCCAGGAATGCAGATCTAACAGAAACCTACTATTCTCCAGTACTGAGTAAGTCTTAGGGTCATACAGATGGTAAAGCATGAAAATTAAGACATTTTCATCACACAGAAGTTAAACAAGCTTCTTTTCACTTACTGAAGTGTTATGTCAGTATGGCACATTTACAATATTGCATAACTACATTATAAGGAGAGTACTGAATTGGCCCTTGTCCAGTTTGGTTTCTTCTAACATTTCTGTAAGAGGAAAAGTTGCCATACATTGAGTTTCAAGTTATTTCTAAATTTGATAACTTTTTTCCCCTCAAGACACTTTAGTTTCACTTATTTTGACTCTAATCTGGAGATATCATGGATATATACCAATTAAAAGCCCACTGTCTATAGGACCTATCCCTTATAATATTCAGAGCTGAAATGTTTGTAGCCTCCAGTCCAACAAACTAGGATGTCTCATATTTGGAGTAATTTGCAGTAGAAGTTGATGAAAATTAGACCTTGATTCAGTACCACATGGAAATAAATGGTTTAACTTGCATTGGAGAGCCATTCTTGTAAGTAAGACATAATCATTTGTGTAGTAACATGCTTCATGTTCTAGGCAATACTTACATAAGCCCTACTATGAGGTCAAATGACAACTGTGAGGAGCAAAGGCCAGGGTCAGTGCTCAAATCTTTAATAGCAATTAAAGACTAGCAACAAGAACCTCAGTCTAAAGGTTAAAGTATTGACTGGTGCCAGATGACTGAAGTGACAGTCTAGTCCTCACCAACTACCTTTATGGTCTTTAAACTCATCCTCTGTTGAATTAAGCAGGAAAACAGTTCCCTGATGAGGGTAACACAGACATGCTTATCCCTTATACTATGTCCCTTTGGCACTCACGGAAATGCAGTGTAGGTTCACCTACAGGAACTGGGAGTGTTAATTAAGATGACTGCATACTTTTGTGAATGCAACGAGTGTGCGTACTGAGGTGCAACTAGCAGAGCCTTATCTGACAGATGTCTTCTTTATTTGTTGTCTATTTTAATTGCAGTCAAGATTAGTGTTACTCTCCACTGCAGGAGAGTAACACTATTGCGATTAGGATTCTCCACTGTATTCACTTCCCCCAAATTTTTCCTACAACAAAAAAGGAACACAGAAGAGCCCTCATTTAGCACAGAATAATTTTTTAGCCTCTGATCTAAACATGCACATTTTCAGTGAACTCGCATATTTTTTTTTCAGCTATCTAAAAACCTAGAAAAAGTCAGCAAAGGCAGCAAGGTTAGACACAAATGCATCTCAACTTGATCTTTGCAGCCAGAGGTTTTAGTTTCCTAGGATCCTTTGACATTAACAGAAGACGAATGCATACCCAGAAGGTAAGCAGCCTTACTAGATGTAGATTTAACGAAAATTTTTGAAACGTAGGTGGATCTGTATCGCTACAAAGAATCACCATGTCAGCAGTGCTTAAAGAGCAGTTGTAAAAATCAAGTTACGAATTCACTTGCAGGATCCCAGACATAAGCATTACACATTATTTTCTGCTGATGAACCTAGCACTCACTGCAGTCATGTGGAAGCCAGCAACAATGATGAACAAAAGGATGATTATATCACATTAAATCATTCCCAGCTTAGCAGAATGGTTTTAATCAGCATTCATTGTTTAGTTAAGGCTAAACAAAAAATTCTTAATTACTACTAAGGGATAAATCAGGTTGCTGGTTCTGGCAGCGTAGCATAAAGCCAGGAATTTTTTATGCTTTTCTATATTTATTAGTATAGACTAGTGCTAGCCTAATCAATAGTCGATTGAGCTGGGTTTGTATATCTATTAGCTTTAAATTACCCTTTTAAAAAGCAGAAGCAAATAATACACATTAAAATAGATCAGCTCTGGTAGATGGGCTTTACATAAAATAAACTTCCAAGCATTACAGCTTGGAAGCTCCTTTTGGCAGCTAACCAAGTCTCCACTAACCCTGGAACTGAAGCATTTTCTTAAGCATCTTTCCCTCTATGCTTTATTCTCCCATAATCCCACTGCTTTCACAGGCTGAATCCAAGGGACCACACTAAGGTATATCCCTGAGACTTTCAGATGCACAATTTTTTCCACCTAGTAACATTAAGATTTGAAGCCACGAGGGCATGAAGCATCTATCACTGGGTGTGCTAGCAAAAATGTACCCACTGGTAATTAATTTCTACAAGAGCCAAGAGCTAGCAGTTAGAAGACTGTGTGGTACAGCTGAAAAGCACTCCACACAGATTCTTTCAGTTATGGTAGCAAGCAATCTTTCACTCAATAACAGATCTTTTGGTTTTGTTACATTGTTCTTTATTCCATATAGTGAATGTAGTTTTCAGGTGTTTCCATCTCTAAGTGGCCAGAAGATACATCCCACACTACCTGAATGACTAGGCTGTAAATACAAAGATCACTTAAAAAATGAAGACACCAAAAAGCTGTGGTTAGTTGACAGTGCACTCACATGACAAAGGTGCAAAATCAACAGCAAAAAGCCAGCAATTCATTTTCCCTTAATACAAGATAATCAAACTAGGAGAAGAGAGATCTAGGTTGCCTGGACACCCAATCTGTTCTGAGAATGTTCATGTTCACACAGATTAAGTAGTCTACTGAAAAACATGGCTGCAAAAATCTCATACACCGTATTTTCTGGCCTATGCACACCAGATTTTACATCATAGCTTCACTAGGCTCAGAACAATGGAAGTACTTTCTATGCAGAGAAATCCGTGTCCTGTATCTTCCGAATGCAGAGAAAGGAATGAGATGTGTTGTGTTACTTGCTAGTGATTACTGCCTTTCCCATGTCTCTGAAAAAGCCTTATTCTTGATGACTCCTGTTCAAAAGATTTCCAAAGTACACAGTAATGGCATAACATCTGCTTGCCTAGTTATATTGTGAAGTTCACCTTAGTTCAAAGACTAAGGTAAAGCTACTATTTCCATAATACTGCCAAGCGAGGAAGCAAAGCTGCAGAATTCAGTTAAGAGAAGAAGACAAATTCTTCCACTGAGTCTTACTAGCCAAGTTTTTACCTTGTTTTCAAGTCCCGAAATAGCAATGACCTTTCGAGTGCAGTGAGGAAGAGAAGCTGCTAGCCAGCTTTCTTGTAATAAGCACCTATTGATATGCTTAACCAAGACATGGTTAACCAAGAACCCAAAGGTAATTACAGAGCATGTGGCATCATGGGACTTGCTCACTATAAATGCTAAGCCTGAAGACAAACAACTGGACATTTCTAGAAAAAGGTGCCAAAGTTTTGGCCTGTTTAGTGTACTCAAGTCAAAAGAAACTTGTGAAACAGTTAGCAGCCATATATCCCAGAAGAGTAAAATGGCAACAGCTCAGAGTAATATAAATTATAACCACAAGTTATTCCTCTCTGCATTATTATTTTCTTTTTCATATCAAGCACTCAAAAGGTAGGAAATGGCTTAAGGTTAAACAAAAATATCATTGCTTTCTATCTTCCTTAACTGTAGGGCATTGCAGCGTACCAAAATAATTAAATTAAAACGCAGGTTATATTGAAAAGAAAAAAGCAAGCCTAAGGTTGAACCTTGCTAGACAGAACAAATGCCCACAGCTGGATTCTTCTGACTACAGAGTAGTCACCCACGATTTGAATGAAGCAAGAGCAGCAGAAGCTACTATAAACCAACTGCAAGATGGTTATTTTTCCATACCAGATACAAAACTTGCAAGGAAAAATTAACTAACAGTTGAAAAGATACAATTCCAATTCCACAGAAATCATTTGCCATTAGACATCTTTGTAAACTCTATCCTTCCAGCCTAATCCCATCTATTCCTCTCTTCCCCACGCACACCCCATTACCCCATTTTCTCCCATCATCACTCCCACTAATCCACTAGCTATGTCCAAATTACTGTTTCAATTACCTGATGGAGATAGCTAAGTTTGCCTTTTTTATAGTAAAACTGACAGTTAAAAGGAAGAAGTTTCAAGAAGAAGGGAATCAACCTCTCACCCCCAAAAGATCAATGAACATGTGTGGCTCAGTTGCCAAGAACACCACATTGCTCAGGTGTACAACTAAACACTGACCAGAGAAGGAAAGGAGGAGGCAGGTACATGGAAGACAGGATTTAGGTCCCAAGCTGTACTAGTCTGAGTTATAGGATACACCATAAAGGCTTCAAAAGGTACCTCTCAGGTACAAAACAGCGTCAAAATGCTGTTAGAGATATCAGATAAACAACCCAGCCAAAACCCAGGATCCACATTGATGGAGGTTAATATAATCTAGCCTAGCACACTCAGTATGGAAACTTCAGCCTAAATGCTTGGTCTGCCAAAGTTATAAGCACCTGAAAGGGTCATAAAGATGGTTTAATCCAAATACAGCCCAAACAGTCAAGCCCTATGACTTGTTTAAAAATGACCATAAGCAGATGCTCAGGGAAGAAGACAAGTAGGAAACATTTTATTACCCCACAACACTTCCAACCTCCCATTGTTTTCAGCTCAGGAACTTCTTAAAAGCACTGGGAAACTACTTTGAATGTTACAACACAGAGACTTACTGAGGAGCAAGGAAAAGCACCTCTTACAAAACCCGAACTGTATTTGCAGGATTCACTGTATGAATTCCTAGGCAAAAGCACATATCGCAGATTAGAGAGCACGTGCCAGCCTGCTACTGTAGTTAAAGAGATT